TTCAAGGCCTGTAATCTGTGAGTTCGAATATAGCAGGCAGCATTTCAGTTAAGTTAACAGAGAGCAATTGAGGGATGCGACGAAAGCGTCTGGGCGCTCCATCTCAGCTGTTCCCTGCTGGAGGGAGATTTCCCTCTCCGACGGCAGGTTTCACATAAAGACCATGTGGAAAACAGCAGTGCGGCCTCTTAGGCCGCGGAAGACTTTGTTGAAATAAAAATTCCAAAAAGGGCTTAACTTGAAACACTCTGCCCTTGCGCTCATCAGGGGCCTGCTGGGGGCAGGTTTATCCTGTCGCTACAGAGAGACAGAGGCTACAAAGAGCTCCCGATGGGCATTAGGGATTTTAGAGCCGCCCAATTTGTATGGGTCTTAGGGACCGTATTGCTGAGAGCGGATCCTCGGTGCACTCTCAGCTGTGCCTGCCTTTGGAAGGAAAAGGAGGAATAATGAGCTTTACTAAGAGCATCTTTCACAAAGGGCTGCAAGGGGAAAGGGATAAGCAGATCTTAGACACTCGAGGCACATCAAAAGCCGCCGCTGAGCAGCTGGAGCTGGGGACGGCGGCGACTGGCCGCGTCCCGATGTGCAGAGCCAGCATCCTCACACCCGGCACAAGCTGCTGTGGGGCAGGCAGGCAGGTTGCCCCACGGGAGGGCACGCAGGGGCTGCCACGTGGGTCCCGAGCTGGAAATGGTGCTCGGAGAATCACTGCTCCAAGAAACATTGCTCGGCTCCTTCAGGAGATGAGCAAAGCGAGTGTTCCCGCCAGCAAAGCCTCCTCCAAAATCTGCATCCTTTGCTTGGCTTTTCGTCTCTGTGATGCCTAATTGCCTTTTTTTTCCCTCATATTATTTCCTTATTATTATTCCTTATATAATTCCTTTATTCCTTACCTAACAGCTGGAGATGTTTGTTGTTAATGAAGCCACGCTGAACAACCAGAGGTGCCTATTGGCAGTTCCATTCCTGCAGCTTCCACAGGGTCTTCCCTGACCTGCGGGCTGGGAAGCAGTATCCAGGGGTGAAACTGCCCATGGATTTTAACATTCCTAAGTAAAGATGGACCACAATTGCAAACTCTTAGACAATGAGGAGCAGTTGGGTGGTTTAAATGTGAGTACCCATAGAAGAAGACAGTATAAGTCTTTCGTGTGGGAGACTTTGTGTTGGTTAGAAGGGTCACTTTGCAGGCGGGGGGATTGAGCTGAGCCCTTGTATCACGGAAGCCTCAGTTCCTAAGTGAAGCAGCACTGTTAAAATGCAGCAGTAAACAAAGTACATGAAGGTTTGACAGTGGCATTAGCAAATAGCTACAGCGAAATGACTGGGAAGGGAAAAAAAAAAACAACTCTGGCTATTTGCAGAACAAGAAAAATGGAACTGGTTTTGACAGATAAGACAGTGCAGCTCTGGGTCAGGAGAGCTTTGTCTTTTTTTTTTTCTTTTTTTTCTTTTTTTTTTTTTTTTTTTTTTGCTGCTAATGACAAATTGCACCTTCAAATTTTAACCAGAGAAATTTGTATTTTTAACAAGCTCCTGTCTTTCAGCATCTCCCAATTAGGAGAAGGATGTTTACAGTGAAACACAAGATAATAAATTTTATTTAATGGGTATGGATCAGAAAAAGATGGATCATTCAGAAAAAGTGCAATCTAGTTTTCACATTATGTCATCACAGAGGTGAATTTTAAGTGATATAGCCAGAAGAGAAGTGAATGCCATACAGATAATTCATGAGTAATTAAGTTTCCTATTTGCAACTTGTCCATAGACAGTATATTGTTTTATCAGAATTCCTCCGGTGTTACCAAAATTCTGGTGGACTGTAGTATTACATGAATATAATAAATAGTAATTGCTACCTTTTGGTTTCCCCTCCATCTCCCAGGCCCCCTTGATGGTCAGTGCAGATACATAGACCCTGTAAGAAGGGCAAAACCTAATATAGATGCAAACCTTGTGCAAAGTATTATGTATTAGTTTATCGAGAGCGTGGAAAACAGCTAAGGTGCCTGGCCTCTGTACTTGGGCACTTTTAAAAGTGATGCTACCAAAATGTAGCACAGCTTCATTTTAATGCCATGAATTGCATGTGAACACGGAATCCTGCTTCTCCAAAGGAACAGTTGTGTATGAATTGCAACCGTGTGGAGCTATGGGCAGCTTGCAACTCTAAGGGAGAAATGGATGAAATAATGGTATGGAGATTTCCATCTTCCTAGCAAATATTTGTCTTATGTATTTAAAAACACTTGGAGCCAGCCTTCCCTGAACTTGTAAGCCTGTTGTCACCGGCTTTACTCGTTGTGTAAGCTGCCTACCAAAGGGTTACAGTAATCAGCTCTGGCAGTGGTGCAATTGGAAATGGTAATTGAAATTGAAAGTGGTGTCTCCAAGGCTCCCTGCCTTTCAGCAGCTCTCCTCTCCTGCTCCGAGGCCTGAAATACGGCTCATGTTTGTGCTCTAACCTCCAGCAATCGCAGCAAGGAGCCAGGCAGCCTCCACGGTGAATTGGATGTCGTGGTGGTTCTTGCTCTGATCGGGAGCTGTTCTTTAGGGGCAATGGGCTCATTTCGGGGCTCCACACAGTCTTATGGCACAGCAAGCAAGGCCCTTTTGGGATGATCCTTCTTCCACATGCTTCTCTGCATAGGTTCCAGGCTCCCACGCAGAGTGACAGTGAGGGGCAAGGTGAAGATTTATATCAACAGAGCTTCAAAGCCTGTCCGGAAACCAGCAGATCCAATGTACAGGTTTCCTCCGAAGGCTTGCAGTGGTTAAAGTATCCTCTTTTCCCCAAATATAGCTTCTCATGCTCATTTTGTGGKTGATCCTATCCAACCGTCAACAAAGACCAGAGCAATCCTCAGAAAGCCCAAGTCCATTCCCAGAGGAGATGGAGAATCAGCTATTCAGTCTTGGAAAGAAGCCAGCAGTGCAGAACGTGCACTACCCTTTTCCTGACAATGTTTAACCCTTTGGAAAGCGATTTTGCCTATTTGCTGCTGCTCTTTCCAGTCGCTCTCCGGGCTGCTCCAGGGTCACCTCAATCCATCCCCAAGCCACAGACTATCAACTTTTGGTATTGAGGGCCCTCAGCTCCTTCTGCATTCATCCATGTGCCCGGTGCCAATGAGCCCTTCACACCTGCCTGCTGCACGGGAGCATTTCTGGAGTGGAGGATGGTGAAGCCAGGAGCACTGGGATATCTCAGACAGGTCCTGGGAACTTCCCCCGGGTGTCTTTAGGAGCTGACAACAGCAGAGCAACTCGGCTGTTAAAGAAGCTGGGAACCAAGACATAATCTGCCGTATCACGTCTGCTTTATCTGGTTAGTAGACTGTGGCTTAGAGGAGGCCAAGTCTGAGTCACAGGTATCAGCTGCCAACCTGGACACCCTGGGGCTTAGCAGGGCTCCCAACACACACAGACATCTGGGGCAGCTTGGTGGGAAACGTCTTCATGGCACGCTGCGCTCATTGCAGGAAGGTTGCTCTTTTTTTTTTAACCCCCAAACTCTATTTTCCATACTGCCATTTCCCCAAGCTAATCAAAATATAGTACAATCTCAGTGAGATAATTCAGTGTATCCTGCCTGATTAATCAGAGCTTTGATAGTCATCCAAATTTCATGCTGATTTTGCTAGAAGGAAGTGGCGTGGGGTTTTGAGCATACATTTGCAGCCTTGTGCTTGACAAGTTCCTGGCATGGGCAGATGTTGCCACAAGGGAGGGATGGTGGTTTTGTCCAGTGCATGTGTGTAAGGTTTGTACCAGCAAGGAGAAGGTGGTGTTGTCAATAGGGTGTTTTGTTGAAGGATGCTGCAGTGGTCGACAACATCTCCATCACCATGGGGTTGTCTGTTGCGCTGCTCCTCTCCCCAGCTCAGGAGAAATGGCAGGAATTGAGTTATTCGTGTTTGTTTCTGCATTTGCTGACTACTTATTTTAGCACTTAAAGGCTCAACAAGGGCATAGTGCAGCAGAAGTCACCTCTAAGACCAGCGTTGCCACCGGAGCAAGCACAGAGGAGACTGAAATCTCCATTATAGTACATCAGGTTGCAGATACAATTAGAAAGAAAACTGGTAGGAAACTGCAATGTAGATGCCTGTTTATGGACAGAATAAAAGTAACATGCAATATAATGCACATAGAAGTGCATTAAAAAAAAAAAAAAGCTGTCCACTGAAAGGAGGAAGAGGTGTTTAAGTGATCTAAAATGTTGTATCTGTCTCCGTTGCTGAAGTCRTGAATGATTTCAGCTTAAAAGTAAGCCATTTTGAGGTGGTTCAATCCTTGCTGCATTTTGCTGCCTCATAATAACAACTGAAATGTCTAGATTGCTTAGCAACCAATAGCTTAGCATCCCATAGTTCAGCTCCGGTTGCAAGAGCCTTTAGATTTGCCACAAAAGTAGAAGCACCAGGATGGATATTAAACTAAAAATTGGCCGTTCCACACCCTAAATGGTAGAATATTAGGAGATCTCTGTATGAAACAGCAAAAAAACCCCATTTTATTTCCATTTCAGCTATTGCTAGGAGATTGGATCTGAGTTTCCAGATGAGCCTGAGGCAGGAGAGAGAAAAATGAGGAGTTCCAATAATAAAATGCATCTCCGTAAATTCAAATTGGAGTTTGTGTCTGAACTACCAAGAATGTCTGAGCTCTCCTCATGTTTGCTTTTATTCTGCTAGCTACAGAAACTTTGTAAGTGTGATTAGGTCCCCATTGTATATTGTATTTTATGAGCAGGAGTTCAGATCTCTACAAATACTCAAGCAATTATTTTCAAACCGTGTTCCTCCCTCTRTATCCTGTGTCCTTTTCTCTAATAGTTGCTGCTAATCAGCAGCAGGGTCTATGAAAGTAACAGCATACCACAGAAAAGAGAGGAAAAAAAGAGAAAAAGACTATGGGAATTATATGTTAATCAGATACTTTAAGTGTTGATTTTTTTTCTCCTCTTCCTTGGCTTATCTTACAGGAGAAATGCAAGAGAAAGAAACTTCTCCAGAGCCTATGAATGCTGACATTTCTTCTGAAGCTGCAGATGTTTCAAATAATGAAGGTATGTTGCTCGAATGCTTTAGTTGTCTGAAGTGCATACATAGCATACCTCCCCAGGACTTGTTCATACAGTTCCAAAAAATGAGCAATGTATTTGTAATCTCTTTGGTTTTGTCTTCTAAGTCATCTAAGTTTTCTTATATCATCTCTACTGTCACCCTCTAGAGTCTTACGATTTTTTGTACAGAGATCTTTCAGGTTTCCTGCTGGCCTATCAGGATTTAATGGAGTGTTTTTCCCCATAAATTTGACCCATAGGTTGTCGTTAAAAATCTAGCAGAGGTACCTTTCCAGTGCCATGCCATAGCTTTTCTCATTGACTCAATTCATGTGTTCTCTTGGTATGTTCAGTCTGCTTTCCTTGTAACCAACCCCTATTTTGGACTTACTGTAACCTCAATGAGAAACCTAGGTGTGTGGCAAAGTCCAGGCATGGATTGAGTAACGGGTCCCTACTGCAGGTCTGTAGTCCTTAAGCAATTCATACACTAAAAAAATGACCCCCTTGGGCTCATACTGCACATAAAGAAGCATGTATCAGTGTTCTTCATTTTTTTTGTTTTCATTTTTGGAAGCAAACCCTTTTGAACCACTCTAGACTGGCTCTTYGAGATTAATAAAACTAGATACTGTGCTGTCACTTGGAAATATGCAGAATAAAGACAAAAGAGGCTTCTTTTCTCATCCTTTGAACAAGTCAACCCCAAAACTCACAATGGCATTAAAATATTTGCGTTTCTGATCCCTGGAATGGTCTGGAGTACATAGTGAGAACAAATCAAAATTTTGTAAAAGAAAAATCTGTAGGGATTTTCCGTGGGAAAGAAAAGTGATCATAGGGCTACTCTAATGTGTGCTGCAGCACAGCAGCTTCATCTGACAGATAGCTTCTGCAGGGATGAGCTTAATAGGTTTCTTTGTCTCAGTTGTTGCTTTTCCTGTAAGAATTTTTACATTTAACTCATCTTGTAGCTTTGCTTTCTGTGAACTTTCTAAGCTGTACAAAAGGACAGAGATAGGGTGTCTATTACAGATGCAGAAACGTGCTCTGATAGTAAGAAAAGTCTTCATTTCTTCTTRTTTTATGCTGTTATTGGGATTATAGTACAGATTGGGTTTTATATGGTCACATATCACATGTTAAAAATAAAAAGAGAGGATYGAAAACCTCTTAAGGGTTAAGTTTCACTGAAAAAAAATGAATTTCTAAATATGCTGGGTACTCGGTGAGATTAAGAAAAAAACACGTTAAAAGATTCCCCGTGACAGTAATTTTTATGCAAATRGCTTATTTTCTCTCTGGTCCCCTTCCCCTGCCCTAGGAGAGCTCATCACTTCACAGCTGAAAGCACAAGACTGTATCCATCGATACCCCTTGGCAGCCAGGCTCTTGTGTTGCAATTGCGTGTACCACGTCCCGGTGAAAAGGGCTGTATAAAAGCAGCCAGTTTAGACAGATGAGGCAGATCTCAATAGTGGTTCATCTAGTGGGCAGGGCTGTAGCAGTGATCGGTTTCAGAAATCACTATTATTTGAAAGCTGGGCATGATATTCCCTCAGAAAAGCTGCCAGAGGGTGTGCGTGTAAGCCTGACTAGGTAGGTATATTTATATATATGTGTGTACATAAATATATATATATATATATATATATATATACACATGTACAGGTGGCTGTTGGCAGCCAGAGAAAAGATGCCTGGCTCTCTTGTTACTCGTACCCAGGGCAGGTGTGCTGATTAGTATTCCTAATGTATATGAAAGATGCTTGCAGTGATAGGTTTCCTAGACAGTGTTTCTCTGCTGGCATACATACAGATTTTTTATCCCGGCAAAGCTTCAAGGATTACGAAGGTAGATGTTAGTTTCCAGCTGGAATTAGGCGGATCAGCCTGCTGGCTCCTTTAATAATGGGGTTGCTCGCTCGTTCCTTTCATTTCAAGTTTTGGAAAGCGGCGTCTTGACTTGGTGACACGACGGGAGGAAAGAGAGGGATGAAGCGATCTCAAAGGAAGCGTCAAACCCACAACTTCAGATTGCTTCATAAGCCGGGGCAGGTTGATGGATGCGATGGCAGTAACCTGCCCTTCACGTGATTTGCAGAGGCAATAAAAAAAGCCAGATCTGAGGCAGCCAACGCCATCCTGCATTTTATGTCGTTGATGTAATATCCAAGTAGCCACCGAGCAAAACGATGCACGTATCTCACCACAGCACAGTAGGTTTGATTCAAAATAGACACGATTTTCTTCCCTGAGTAATCTGGAGTTATAGTTACATGTGCTGTAGCTGAGTTACATAAATGCAAAGTGAAACATTGCTTTGGAAGCAGCCAAAGAAATAGATTATTTTTGCAATATGAATCTGACTGAGCTCCTATTTAAATCAATACAATAATACTTTCCTTTCATCTGCCAGCCAGGTCTGCAGCGTAATATCCTTTGGGGGAAGAATGCTCTCTCCCACACAGACAACTCTAAACTTAGTTTCCATTCTCCCATTTACCTGTCTTTTTCACTTAGATGATGAGCTGTATCTCCTGGCTACCTGACCTTTAAGAGGCTGCCTTGCTGCTGAGCCACATCCCCCGTTGAGCAGGAATAGCAGAGTTTTGACCAGGGTTATCTCAGCACCAGGTGGCTCCTTTTTGGGGACACTTGCTTGCTTTTGAGGGGAGATCCTTCTCAGGTCATACTCACCCTCAGACAGAGGGGGAACACGCACTTGCACTGCTGTGCTCCTTTACCAGCTAGATACAGAGGTTATGGAGGTGGCCTCGCAGTGACATCCATGGTTGGGGTTCACCAGCAGTCTGCAGAAGCTCCTTCGTGACTTATGAGATCTTCGTGCCCATATCAGCACCAACACCAAGTAGGATGGGCTGCTTGTAACCATTAGATGGGAAGAGGGGGGACTTCTTAAGGATGCTGCAGAGATGAACCTGAGCTTTCAAATGAAATTCTCACTCCGAAAGCGACCTCTGTAAAATGGTGAGAAGCCTCCCGGTGCTCTCTGAAAGCTAAGTGAAATGGGCTGACATAATGAGGCTGAGCAAGGCTGCTGTCATCAGTGCTCAGCAGCCTGCCCTTAATGATTTTTTATTAAACATCCTGTCTTTGCTATGCAAATGCATATAAAGAACGCAACATAGCTAAATGTGATGTGCATCAGAGCTCCATAATCAGGAGCAGATACTTTTCTTGTTATTCACTGCATACATTCAGGAAGCCATTACAGTATCTGTTCTGCATATGTATGATGAATAATTTACAGAAATATTCATCAAAATCCTMACAGGTGTATTGACATGGTATTGACCCAGAGATCATACTGCTGGACTGGAAGGATCAAGGACAATTATTGGTTTTGGTTTTGTTCCCCCTCATCTTCCCTTAATTTCTAATTATTTCATTTGGATTTGATTTTTTTCCATGTCCCCACATCAAATGACCCATATTTTGCAATTGGTACCGAATTTAAAGCACAGTTTTTTAAAACAAAGTGTTAATATAAATGGCCTTATTAAAATTCATTCCAGAACAAACATTAATACTAAAAATACTTCTCRTGATTTGTATTCAGCCTAAATAGAAGCAATCTCACATGCCATAGTTCATATGACATTTTTGCAGAAGTCAGATTGAAATGAATTTAATCCTTATGTTTAAATCATTTCTTGTTTGTCAGTAACTTTAAATTTAAAAAATAAGGTTGTTTTCATAAATTAATAGTGCACTAGTAAGTACCAGACTATTTCCCCTGAATCCTCCTTCGGGCTACAGTGGTTTGCAGCTGATGGACATCTTGAGGCAGCATCTCTCATCTCAGGGATGGAGGCACATTCAGACCACAGCTCAGTCCAGGCTCCCACCTGGAACTTGATCAAAAGCCTGAGGATCTTCCAGTCCAAGATTTTGCTGTGGCAGCCAAAGACTCAGTGCAAAGAACCCCGTTTTGATGTTGTGAAGGGAGATGAAGAGATCTGCAGAGCTCATTAGCATGGCTGATGATAGAAAAACCTTGCTGTCAGATGCTAAGACATGCTTGTGCATCTCTGCAACCCTCTAACCAGTGTCACTCCAGCAGGAATGGGCAAAAGTCAAGACCATTTAGCCTGGTGAAACTCTAGATCACCCCCTGGAAGTGCTTGTGTCTACATGGTCTGCATGGTCTACATGGTCTACATGGACAGAGGAGGGTGATTACTCTCCTCAGGGAGGTATCTCAGTTAGGTGCCAAAGTTGGACGGGATGAATTTGGGCTCAAAGGAAGCTCTAGATGTAGAGGTCAGCCCTTGTGGTGATGCTGAAGTGTTCACCTGTGCAGAACAGTTCATCAAGGTTCCCCTGTAACAGTGGACAATGATGGCAAGCCTAAGGGACACTTCTGCAGATTTATGGCCTCAAATCCTTAATGCAGTAATTGTACCCTGCCTCCTTTGGATTAGAAACAGTTATTACTCAATGTGATAAATTTAACATGTGTTTATGCATAAAATTTGACAACTGTCTTGTTTTCTTTTCAGCTGAAATCAATAGTCAGGTTCAAAGTATAAGCAGCCCTACAGAAACAGAGCCGCAAGTTAACTAATAGGTAAGATACTTGTGGTTATTATTTCCTCTTTTGTAGCTAGCGTTTTCCTTCCCACTTCCATTTGAAAACTAGATTTAGAATTGACTGTAATTAAAGTTAGACATGACAAAAAGGAAAAAGAAAAAGAAGAAAAAAGGACAGAACACAAGGACACAAAGAGAATTTGGCTAATGCGGCATATTATATTAAAAAAAACCCAGTAGACTTGGTTTGTCAAGTAAATATTATAGTAGTTTTCTGCAGCTGTAACAGATTCAGACACTGCACGGTCTTAGATCATCAGAAAGCAAGACAGCACCAAGATAAGCAATGGAAGAGTAACTGAGTGAACAATTCTTGGCATTGCTTAGGAAAATGACAAGCAATTTATACTGGTTGGAACCAAGTTCAGGCCTGGGCAATCTGTATTCAGGAACAACAGGTTCGTGTCAGGAGGGGTTTATTGCCCTTGGCTCTGCAATGCCTAACGTCACTGCTAGCTGCAGAGCAAAGCCAAGTGCAGCCAGGGAGCTGCTTTTGGGAGCTTTGCTGCCTTACACTGAGTGATGCTGCTGCTGCAGGAGTGCACAGTAGTGCTTATTGCAGGCGAATTGGTCGTATACTTAAGCAGCCTCACCCCTAGCTAAAAAAAGGATTAATTTTCTAGGAAGACAAAAGTCCAAGGCCCCCCCTCAATTACAGAAGGCAGCTGTGGTTCCTGTCGCAGCAGCCCGTTTTTAAGCGTTAACACGCGACACTCCCTCTGTGGAGGGTTATTATAAGCTGCCAATATCATATACAGCAAGATGGGTTATTTATGCCCATAATGGGATTTCATGTAGCTCGAGACCAAATATAGAAGCTTCACAACAGTGGCAGCTGTATCAYGGAGATTTAAAATACAAGGTCTTATTACGGAGCATAACCCTTCGTCCTTGTCAGCGTATTGGCAATGTGCTGCCGTGCTGCTGGGAGGAGAAATACGACCGATGGGGGCCCGGTTAAAAAGTGCTGAAGCAAAACTAGCAGGGACCCTCATAATTAAAACACCACTTCCACAGTTCTGCCTGTTTACATCCCATTTCCTAGCTTCTGGTTTCCTGCTCTGCTACAGGAAGGAAGGAAAAGAAACTGGTAAAATCCTCTCTGCTAAAAATAAATTGAAAAGTTAATACCCTTGGTTTAAAAAAAAATGGGCTTAAAAAAAATGTATCTGACAGTTATTACTGCTTTCACGTGATCTGAAGGAAGCCTGTAGTTTGGACTGCGTTCCCCCTTGGAAATTACTGCCTGCAGATGTGTTGGGTGGGAGTCCTTTTTGCTTTATGAAGGTGAAGTTCAGGAGAATAACACCGCCGCAATTAGCAGTTAATTAACAAATCTCTCCCATTCCACTGTGAGGCCTGGCTATCACAGCACTACTCAGAAATGAAGGGGCCTGAGCCAGGACCCCAGAATGATTTTCCCAGGGTTTTAATGGCAGGTATGGGGATTAGAAGCAAAAATTGAGGAGTTCTTCCCAGCGCTCTGCTTGAGTCCTCCCGACCCTGTTGTGGTTGCAGGGAGCAGGTCCATAGGGAAGCACTGATGGGCTTCAAAGTACAGAGTCCTCTGGGGCCAAGGAGACCCCTTTGCCTATCACACTTAGAATTCCAGGTAGTTTTTCCAAAAACAACATTGCAAGGCCTAGCCCCAAGGCACTTTCTGGAGCTGGGAAGACTCAGGCACACGTGTAGAGAAAGTGGTGGCTTCACATCCACGATTCCTGCGTCCACGCTCGCGTGTGCCGCCGCAGCCGGGGTTTGTGGAGCGTGGCCATGGAAAGCTGCTTCCCATGGGCAGCAGACACAGCGATATTAGGGTCTGGAGAAGGGCCGGGGTTGCAAATCGCCGCTCAGGGGGGTTTATTCCTGTCTTTTTTTCCCGTGGGAAGGAGCGCCGYGGGAGACGAGGCGGTGACGACGGCTCCGCGGCAGGCACCGACGTCGTCCGGCATCCCCGCGGCAGGAAGGCRCCCGACACGGCCGCGCGGGAAGGGAGGCAGCCGCGGGAATTGCCTCCTTGCTTTCGTTTCTCTTTGTTCGCCATGGCGTTTTCGTTCTGTAAACCTGTTGGAAAGAAACATTTCTTCCCGGTTCTGGCAATGTTTTGCAACCATCCCTGCAATTACAACCGTTTCTTCTGAACCACGAGTCCCTGTGTTATATTAGGTCTCTCTCCGCTCGTGTTGGCAGCCCACGGGGCCCGTCCCTGCCCCTCGCATCCTTGCTGCTTTCCCAGTTTACGGTCCTCTCTGCAGGAAGCCTGTGGGGGTGAGTTTATCCTCCCTTTTATTTGTTATTTGTTTTCCCTAAAGCTGTTCCCTAGCGTAGAAGCTGAGATTCGCTGTGGGAACAGGAGCCGCCAYGAAGGATTATGATCCGCACACACCAGCCCCCAGCGGCTCTCCCTCTGCTAGGGCTCTGCAAGGAAGGCAGCTCCCAGCTCTCCAAACCCATGTCCGGACGTCCAGGCTGGGCAGCAGAGCCTGGGGCAGCCGCTGCCTTGGCTTTTCCAATGATCCGGCCKCTCCACGGTGCCTGGCGGATCCGGACGCACTTCACGCACGTGGCCTTGGACAGTCGGTGCCCCCCATCCCCAAGCCCATGCTGTAGGTGTCTCCTTGGAGTACTCGCAGGCAACAGCTCTGTCCCCAGCCCCACGAGTGGCGGAGGGCAGCAGGCATCCTGCATCCAGACCCCTTGGAATTCGGCTTCTCGCTTGCACCGCTTCACGCTGCACCTTGTGTGACCCTCGCTGCACTTCCTGCTGCCTATGCATGATTTCTTTTTATCAGTTAGGAAGAAAAAGAAGCTATTAACAGTTGCTAGGGGAGGAAGGTCTCACCATATGCCAATGGTTCTGCTGGCAAATGCTGTGCTGAGGTCTTTTATGGGAAGGCACAAAGAGGTCTTGCGTTTCCGCACCGCGCCGGACATGAGCTCCGTGGAAGTGCGTACGTGGAAGAGCAGGCAACCTGTGYGCACTGGGCAATGTGCTGCAAAACCTTAGATTTTTACAGTGCTGCTGGTAAAAACCTGACCATTTTAAATAGAGAAATTGTGAGTTTCCCCCCTTGCCTCCCCTGAAAATATGCACAAATCCCCAAATAGGTTTTGACTAGCTGGACACAAAAGAAAACCCAAGGTGCAAGACTGGCAGATACATCCATCCTACCTTGGTCTAGGTTTATTCTAGCTATAGTAGGTTTGATGAGAACATTTCTGTTGGTCTAAATGGGAGCAAAACGTGGCCTTAAATGCACATACCATTGGCCATAGCATCTGGTGATGGCTGTCAGCCGCTGAGTGATTTGAAAGGGTGTCAGGACAAACACAGATGAGAGAGGAAAATAGGAAACGCCACCAGATTGCACTGAAAGCCCCCGAGTGACGCTGCCTCGCGCTTCGCAGTGTGCAGCCCTGGCCCGTTTGCCTGCCAGGATATTTCCAGGTATTTGGGTGTTTCCAGGGGCCAGCTCCTTCGGCATTTTAACCTACGTGGCACTAGCACCAGCACGAGGGAGCTGCGACAGCCTGGAATTCCTTCTGGAGGTTGGTGGGTGCGTCACGCTGAACAGGCTCAGGCTTTGGAAGATGCTGCAGTTTGACCCTATCAGCTCAGCCTGTTGTACATGCTGGATTGGGGTGCTCCCACATTCACCAGCTCTGACACCTCTCACCCCACATTTTGGACACCCTGTTCACGTTGAAGCATCGTTTTTCTCTCTCCTGCCTCGCTGGCATGGCAGAAAGTGTGTTTTTCTCCGCGATTTTCTTCCTGCTCTTCCTGCCCCGCGTTTCCAGCTGGTTCCAGCGTTGCAGCCAGGATGTGCATCAGCACGGTGCCCGCCTCACACATTACTGTACGTTTTCCATGCCCAGGGATTCTGATTCAATCAACCTGTTTTCCYTTCGAAAGGGGAGGAGTGGAAAAAAAAATCCCAGGGGGAAGTGGAATAAACGCAAGAGGGGTCTCTCATGTTAATCCTGCTTTTGTGTGTTCCCTGGGAAAAGACAAGGATGGAYGGGCTCCCTTTATGCAGCAAGGGGAGGGAACCACCTCCCACAGGGCAGGGAATGAACCTGGAAAACGGGTTGCTTCCATGGAGGGAAACGTGGGCACCCCCATCCTAACRCTGGTGTGAGTTGACCTGAGCAGAGTCTTGTCAATTCATCCAGCCCAGCGTCCAGCCCTCTCTGCATTTAATGCTGCAGATGTGATGCTGTAGTCTGCAGCCACCCGTGGGCCCCGTGTCCCTCAAACAGTCACAAGCCCCAGTTCTGGCAGGGGAGACAAGGCAAGAGCCACCCRGACCTTGGCTATGGCAGCTGGATGAGATACCGGGACAGAGGATGCTGGAACCCCTCGTGAAGGTTTGCTGATACAATAGTTAACTGCAGAGATGCTTCACATTAGACACTCTCCTTATGACTCCTGTCAGTAATTTCTTTGTCATTTTCATTTAACTTTGGTCCTTGAACAGGCTCTGAGACCGTGATGCGTTTGCCTGAGGATGCAGCAGCAGAGGGTGCAGCCACGATAGAAGTGTAAAGGCAGAAAATGCAGGAGTTGATTAAATCCTTGTGCAATTTCCAGATATGTCTGTATTTTTCTTTCCCCAGGTAGGCTTGGGCAGTGTGAGCTCTTCAGCTGAGGGTTTTTTTTAAATTATGGCTGGGCCAGACCCACCTYTGGCAGTGCCCCCTGATTCTGCAGGAGCTGGAGAAATGCAGAAATTTGGCTTTGCAGAAAAATAAGAATGAAAACTGGAATACCTGCACTGTCTTGTGGATTTGGGTTTAGAATTTGTTCCCGGTAGGCGGCATGAAGAGAACAGAAGCCCTGCAGTCCCCCTGTTTGCATACAGAGTATCGAAATCTGCTTTTAATGATGTAGCCCCTGTTTTTAAAAGCGCTCATCCCTACAATTAGGCACAATAATCCTCCAGCTAGTGACTGCTCTCGTGATGGACACGTTTCCTTTCATATAAACTTCCAAAGGCGATCTCTGAGACACTGTAATACTGGCTCACACATTCACTGCAGCTGATTGTAAATCTTTCTATTAAAGCACTGAAAAAGCCTCTTTGTGAATTAACACTGTTCTGCTTTATGCACTTAATTAAAAAATAAATACGTTTCTATATATGCGGTGCATGCCTGCTTTGCTTTTAAAATGACAAACTTAGCAGAGTATGTTGGATCTATTTTCTTGAGGAATAGGGGTTTTTACCACATGATTCATCAAGGATATGCGTTATCCTGGCATTTGTGATAAAAAAAAAAAGGAAAGTTAATAAAAGCAATTTTCTCGAACAAACAAAAATGCATTTTTACTTAAATGCAAATAAATGTAGGCTCTTGCTTGCAGAACATCTTCTGATAGATGGTATAATAGCTGTATAGGTTAACACACACCTCTCTCGTTAACCTGTCACTCACATGCTGAATTTGCCTCTGAGTCTGTTATTTTTCCTTTCGTTCGTGCCATACATTGGAAAATTTAAAGAAGTGATGCCTTCATACTACAATGTTTGTTAAAGCAAAATATTAATAAAACTTGTTCTGAGAACAAGGCAGTGTTGTGAGTTTTTCCCCCAGCTTTGCTGATTATGCAGCTCTCATTTTGGACATTAGTAACAGGTATTTCAGGCTTGAAAATGCAAYTGCAAGTGTGAATTGCCAATTCCTTATTTAGGTATATTGTTCACTTGGGACTTAAGTGTTTTGAGAAATGGGTATCTCCGAGGGGTTCTTGGAAGGCAGGAGTGGCAAATAAAGATGCAAACTTTTCATCTTGAAGGGGACAAGGGCAATTGGCTGATCCCGTAACTAAACTGGTGATGTTACAAAAATCCTGGCAATTATATCAGGTCTCTGCACTTTCTATGCTCATTTATTTCAATACAGTCTGAATGGATATAAGATCTTGCAAAAAGCAGGAAGGGGACATTTTATCTTCCCATTGCCCAAGTGTAAGTGAACACAAGTGTTCAGGTCCTGTCTTACTTTTGTTATACAAGACCATTAATTGACTTTCTTAGGGACATGGCTTTACGTTTTCAAGGTTTTTTGAAAATTAGCTCACTTAAAGGTGCCTGAAATGTGACTTTGCCAGCCTATAATCATTGAACAACTGAAGGGAAGAGGACAGACATAGAAAATACTTGACAATGGGTAACACCTACATTGTTTTTCTGGGTTTGAGGCTGAAATTCCCTGCATTACTCTAGTAGCAGTGAGCTAACCTGAGAGAGAGCAGCAGCAGTAACGGCTGTAAAACAGCATCTCCAGTGGGTTTCAGTTGAGCTATCACTCCTCTAATTTCCCTTGTTAGGAAACTTAGCAGTCTAGATGGAGATGCCTGTTTTCTTCATTTTGTAGTCGGAATTACCATGGTTGTCCTACAAGGGAATATTTTTCTCTGTGGCTGTCGTACATTTTCAGAAATGGAGAAAAGTTCATCTATCATAGGGGGGCAAATATTGCCCATCCCATCCTTTCTGCATAGCACAGTGTTGAGGGAAAGACTCTGTTTCTGTTGTTTGGAAGATGAAGAAGGACGCACRCTTGAAGCTGCATGGACCTTTGTGCCACTGCATATTTAGATGTGAACTGGGCAAAAGCAGGTGAGTCTGCTAGGATCAGATGCATGCTCAAGACAACTGTATTATAATTCTGGAGACTCTAGAGGGGTTGACCACATCCCTCAAGAAGAYGGTTGGAAAAGCTGAAGATCACTCATGGGCAAGCAAATTCTGATTTATTGTTTATTATTTCTGATATTATTGCTCAGCTTCAAGAGAGAAAAAAAAAAGGAATTCACACTAAATCTGCAAGAACTTGAATGGGAAGATCTAGTTACCCCTTTTGCTGTTACATGTGAGCACAGTGAGATGCTTCTAGAAGACTCATCTTACATAGTTTCTGTGTGAGGGCACCCCAAGCTGTGCAGAAGCCACCAGCCGCTGCGAGGACTCTGGGCACCCTTTAATCAGTGCTGATTTTTCCCCCCTATAGGAGAACTCTTGGCACAGATGCATGCTTCTGAAAAGGCCTTTATAACCTTTATCCATTTCTTAAGGTGAAAAATAGTGCTTTGGGATTTTAATTAGCCTTGTATATTTTTTTTCCCTTTAAATAGAAGTGTCAGGAGACATTTATATACCCTAATTTCTCGTTCCATTAGAATTATCAACAATCCCTTAAACTAAGTGGCAAATCACTATTAATTCCTTTGGAATTCACAGATAAAACATTAATCCTAATGAATTCCTCCAGGAAAAAAAAAAAAAAAAAAAAAAAAAAAGAAAAAGTTCCTAAATAGAGCACAGTTGAGCAGGTAGAAAGTCCAGGTTCAGGCTGTCCCTATGGAGGGTTCTCCTTCTGGTACCAGATCTGCAGGAGGTCCATAGCTCCACAGGTTGAGTTTGGGTGCCAGTATGATGAGAAGTCAATGGAGATGCCTGATGCCATGGTGGATTCAACAGGCTGTTCCAGTGATGAAACCTTTGGAGAAAGCGGTCGCAGAGCAGCCTAGGTAAGACCTAGGTAAGATGAGCACCGGGCTTTGGCAGATTGAAGGTCCTTCGGACACCCACTCATTTCACACGCGCTTCTCAGCACCTACTCACTATTTGGGAATGGAAGCCAAAACTTGACACTTTTTTTTTTTATTCCTCCCCCTCAAGAAATCCAGGAAATGTATTTTGGAATAAAAAGGGCTGTAGAAATGAGCAGAGATGACATGTGGACCGATAAGCATTCCAAGGGCATCCTGACATTAAAATTCCTTCCTCGAGCCTTGAGTCACAGCAGCTCGGCACCAGAGGAGTTTTATTTTATTTTATTTTTTGCAGAGGAAAAGGAAATTGGAGAGGCCAGGTGCTGAAGAGAAGGAGATTACTGACTTCCACCAGCCAAAAAAATAAAAAAATAAAAATAAATCCTGGTGCTGATGGWTTCAGATTTTAAATAGAGGATGCTCCACATGCATCCCTCCCTCCTGGTACATGCAGTACCGAGCCTGTGGCTGACTCATGCCTGCTGGAGGTGAATGGTGATGTGCTCCACAGCCATTGGAAGCTACGGAAAATCCGTGCCTTTAGTGAGTGCTTTTTGGCAGCTCCCTTAAGACTGGAATTACCTGTAGAGGTACCTGGGCATGGATGCACATGGACAGGCCTGGAATGGTACCCCGACCATCCCRGCACCCCCAAACACTCCATCCAGACACAGGACTGACAGCTCTCACTTTCCTTACCTGCCTTGGCTTCTTTCTCCTTGCTGTGCTCTTCCATGGGCTGCAATCCAACAGCCATACGTGCAAAAGCACGTTTTCTGCTTGCCCATATGGCTCTGCTTTGCAACATCAAAGGTTTTTAGGCTGAGCCTAAAGGCTGAGCCTTTGTCCTGAGAGTTTTTTTTCTTTTTTTCTTTTTTTTTTTTTTTTTTATGGCAATATTTCTTTGTGCTCTGAAAAACCATGTGATGGCTAAACCCGCCAGGAAAATCAATCCGAACCACTTACAGCCAGTTAAAAAAGTAAAAATAAATAAATAAATAAATAAATAAATAAATAAATAAATAAATAAATAAATAAATAAAGGAGGCTTCTGAATTGCTCAGAAGAGACTCCTATCGCAGTGAAAGAAATTAATCTTTTCTAAGGAACGACCCTTTAAATTAAGATACTAAGTAAGGTGAGAGGCTGAAGAAGCATTTGACCACTCACAAATCAGCCTCCCTAATCATGAAAAAAAAAAAGTCTTTTCTTTTGGAGCAAAATAGTTTTGGTGGGAATGGTTGAGAGCAAGCCATGGGAAGCCTGGCTGGGTTTAGGACTGTGGAGCAACCTGCCTAGAAATCCCCACGCACAGTGCTGGGCACAGCACAGCCCTGAGACTCACACGTTTTTACTCTTGCATCTAAAACCCACATTTCGAATGCAAGAAGAGCAAAGTTTCAGTTTCTGCAATGCTCCCTTTTCCCTTTTACAAGAATTCCCCCTTCCTGGTGAACAGRGATGCTCTATCTGAGCCCAGACAGCCCCATATGCTGCTTAAACAGCCTCTGGGCTGCGGTGGTCCCACTCCCCAAACCCACACGTGGCCTGTTCCCTCCCAAAAAGCTCCTCTGGCAGGGATACTCCTTTGTACCCGRCCATTTAAAGTATGCATTTATGGAGATTTATTTATTGAGATGTATTCCTGGCGATTGCCTCCTTGTGCTGCAGGCACTGGGAGGCCCTGCTGTGCAGCGCTTGGCCCTGGTCCTGTGCAAATAATCACTATTCCTTCTTGGGAGGCAGGATTTAAAGCAGGGAACGTGACATTGCAGAGCAAGACAGCAATTAAAGGCTAAGGCTAAGGGGTTTTTTTTTTTGGTTTCTTTTGTTTTTTGGGGTTTTTTTTCTCAAAAAGGTCTTAAAATCACTTATGGGGAGAGGGATGGAGAGGAGGTGGCAGAGATGACCTCTAGATCTCCTCTGGAGATGATCTGTGAAGCACTTCTGACCTCCGACTAAAGCCTAAGTAGACTAGAGCGTATCTTGCAAAAGAAAGGGAGGAAAATATTTTACTGCCTATGTGCATTTTTTATGAGTACATGGCATCTGTATCTGATATTGCACCTATTGCCCTGTTAAAGTTACTGCAGACTGAAATATAACCTTAGCAGTTGCCTTCTTGTGGCTGGGGTCAGACCTGCTGTGCTGGGGTCTGTGAAGGGCTGAATTGTTCTGGATTTTGCAAGGGGAAGATCTGGAGCCCTCTCTTCTGGCGCCATGGAATTCCGGTCGGGAAACTCAAGCTGAGCTTATTTTGAAATCTCAGACATTTTCTGGCAGGAATTTTGCTGCAGGACACAAGTTGCTTGAACACCCAAGCAGTGTTTGAGCAGTGAATGTTTTCAGAAAGTTAGGGTTTTTAGCAAGGCGTGGAGATTTGCTAAGAATTTACAGCAGTTAATTATGCAGTTTTGCCSAGTCACTGATATGATCTATTAATTATGTCAACTCTGGGACCCYCTGTTACAGCAAAAGTGGCCCCAGGCACTGTGATTCTCCAGTACTGCCGTAAACTGCAGCCTAGATGAGCTGCCCTCGTGGGACAGAGATGGTATCTCATGAGATCTCCTCTTGGATAAGTGTGATTTCCTACATAATCACCTACCAGAGGGTTCCCAGCCCTTCCTTGCAGTTTTAAGCTGAGTTTCAGGCTGTGAAAATATCTGGTCAGCAAATTAGTGTGKTTTTTTTCCCCCCGGGTGAAAGTGCTAGCACCTTCAATTAAATGCTATTGTTTGCCTGTTTCTACATCTTAATCTGCTTTTGAACTCCGGAAAGAATGGTCCTGGGTAGCTCGCATCTGTGTGTCTGGTCCCTACAGGGGACACTGGCATCCTTCGAGCAAAACCCCTTTCTGATCCCAGC